GACATATCATGTTGACTTGCCCAGAAACCTGATCTTGTCAGTGTCCAGAGTCAATCATATTTAGGTAGTCTGACTCATGTTAAGTACCCTCACTAGTGACCAAAGTTAATTAGAATGCCAATAGACTAATTCATGAGAAAATAAAATTGTCAAGCCTCCTGGCCATTTCATTTGGCCAGTTTTTGTCTCTAGGGAATAAAGTATAATTAGAAGAGGTAGCTTGGTGAGTTTTAATCAGGGCAACAGGAAATACTCTATGATTCAGACATTTAATGGTGTCAAGCTATCAAAGCTTGATGGCGTTTACCTATTTTCTAAGTCAGATGTTTTAACAATCTTGGAACTGTGAGATTTGTAGCAGTGTTTATTAAGTGATGATAATCTATCCATGTCTTTTATTTGATTTTTTCTATTTTTTATAAAGGGGCTTTCTGTTATGATACACATAAATTATTGCCCTTATACCTAAGCTATTTAGATCAACTGAACTATTTGAAAGGGAATTAGTCGCACTGTTAGATTGAGGCAATAGGCATTATAATTGTTTTATGGGACTTTGCTATTGAGTTTTTAGAAATAATTTTGTAGGACTGTAGACTAGATATGAACAGGGTTTATTTTAAAGCATATACATTTTAAATTAAATTTAGCATTAAAGAATATTCTGTAGTTTTCTTCCTTCACTAGGCCTTTCTTTATATTTCTAATGGGAACTCAGCTTCTTTTTTTTTTAAATAAAAGAAGCCAGTGGGAATATTATTTCATTTATAAGAATTTTTTGTAGAATAGCTGTTTTATTGGTTAAATCTTGATATCTTCATCATTACTTTTATTTTTTGCTTCACTTTTATGAATTCTTTTAGGTTATCTGGATCTTGAAATAGGCCCACAGCCAGATAATAAGAATTTTAATTAGCCCAAAAAATCCTTGAAAGATTTTTTTTTATTGTTTACCTCTTTGTATGGTACTACTTATGGAATTAATTTGAATTTAACTGATACTGAGCATGGCTAGTTAGAAATCCAACTTTGGGGCTTAAGTTTCATACTTCAGTTTTTATTTTTCAAAAGCTGTGAGATTATGATCTTTTTCTCATTGTTTAAATTAGAAAAGGCAGATGAAATTTTGGTTTTCATCTGAACTGAACATCTATTAGAATTCCAATTATTAGAATTATATTGGAAAAACATTTTTTTTTAGTTATTAGCTAGCTGAACTTTTTATTGCTAATGCAGAATAAAAGTAGGTTAAAGTATATTTCCTTTTTAAAAATTTTTAAATGAAAAATGTCATGATTACAAATAGTAATGGTAGAAATTATGCATTTTTATCAGGATGCTTGCAGTTTATTATTAGAGGTATAGTCATGTGTGTGTGTGTACAGAGACTTAGAAGTAAATATTTCCCATTTTAAGAATAAAGGAACTTTATGGTTTTCATAATAATAATACTAAATATAAGTATTTCAGTTAAAAATTGTGCAAACAGCAGCCCTGGGAAATGCAGACTACTGAATATTTATATCATGGGAGAATACTGCCACCTTGAGTATATGTAATGCTATTTTATGTCTTCATTTTCTTTTGTTATGCCAGTTGATACATTGTGTTTTTTGGTACTGTGTTCAGATGTATAAATGTCTAAAGATGTTTTTTGTTTTGTTGTTTTTTATGTAGTAAAATCAAGCCAAATTCTCTTTTTTCTTACCAGGAGGAGGGATCTTGAATTTTGAAGACATTGAATTTGATGTAGTTAGCTTTAAGAATTGGAAAGTCTGAGACATCAATCAGGTTAATTGATATCTGATGTTAGTTGAAAATTGAATCCTTTTATTTGAATCTTATGGATGATAGATGATTCTTTTATCATTCTTCACTTCGGGATCATTCTGAATAACAGAATTCATTATATTATAGGTAAAGGAAGTACAGGGCACTGGGCTTTACCGACACAATCCCATTCCTTGATTTTTGAATGTTTTCCTTTTAGGTCAAGTGCAGAGGAATGACTAATAATGACATGTAATAGTGTTCTGAAAAATATTAATGTGATAAAAAAAGAATTCCTTTAAATCATTTTGGTTACCTGGAGGCATGACTTAGTGGATTTTCAGGTATTTCTTCTATGAAGAGGAAGAATCATGAGACTGGGAGTTCGCTTTCTGATGCTCCCAATTAGCTTAGCTGTGTAATCATGAGCACAAGTTTCTTCATCTGAAAAATGAGCAGTTTAACTGGGTGGTTTCTAAAGACATTTTTAGCTTTAAAATTCTATGACCGTGTAAACTTTTACTCTAATTTTTAAAATGTTAATGCTATAATGCCCTTCGATGTACTCATACTCTTCTATATAAGAAGTTATTTTAAAATTTAATGTAATCACATAGTTGTGTTTAACTGTCATAGAATATATAGTAATTCGAGGGGATACATGTGTACAAACGTTTTAAACCAGAAGCCTAGGAAATTTGCCTACTTTTTAACACATAGGGTGCTTCAGGATTGGTTTTGGAGTAACCTAGATTTTAATTGTATACTGTTTAAGCAACATAACATTTTTTGGGGGAGTACAAATGCGTTGAAAATGACTACATTTCAACTTCTGGGAAGGCTCCAAAAGTTTGTATAAATATGATAAAGCCCATATCATAGGCAGAATTTTCAGATTGAGATGAAAAGAGAGAAAAAGGTACCTTAGCCTACAGTTAAAAACTTAGTTCTTTAGGATATTACCCAACTGAAAATTTAAGGCCAAAGATTCTTCAGTATGTAAATTTCTTCATTTTTTTAGTGTACAGTAGCAGATATTTCCTGCTTATTTTAATTCATTTTTCTCCTGAAGTGTGCTAAGAGTGAACATACGTAATCAGGTTTAGCTTTTTACTTTAAGACTATCTGAGAATAATTTTTTAAAATTCTAAGCATAATTTAGAGGAAAATGATTCTTATTGTTAAGCTATATAAACATGCTAAATTCGACATCTATACTGAAATAATTTCCCAGTGCCTCGTGGTAGTAATACCAAAACAAAATAACTGTATTGTTATTTTTGCATTTATTTTATGTAATGCCAAACTGTTTCATAGAGTACAGACTTCATGACAAATGTTTACATTCACTAACTAATAAAATGCATTTCACATGCAAAAACTTATGTACGTATTATAAAACACTAAGTAAAAATATTAATTAAAATGTACATACTACCCTTCTAATGTTAATTATGGAAGTATAATAAAAATAAAATATTAAGTAAACTACACATCATAAAAGTATAAGAGAACATAATCATGAAAAGAGCAAAGTGGACGATAGCCTAATTTGTTTTTAGAAAGCACAATCTTAAGAAAATGAGTATGTCGGTGGTGACATCAGTCATATGGTTTTACTGTAGAGATTTTTGTCAAAAGGTTTCTTCCAAAACCTTGCTCAACAGTAAGGTAGGAATGTGAAATTAGAAGAAAATATTGGGCAGTAGTTTCTAACAGGCTCACCTACAAATCTAATCTCTGGATTGATACTCAAGACATTTTTGAAGTTTGTTTTTATATAGGGACTATAATTTTTATTGATAGCAAACTGTAATTTTAGAGAGAGTGTTCCTAGTTTTTTTCTTTATTTTATATGTAGGTGGAGATTTCAATACACAATAACCTGTATTTGGTTCATTTGTATTGTGTTAGTGTTACACTTGTTTGAAAAGTCTTTGATCTCAATGGAGAGTTATGATTGCAATAAAAAATTTGTCAATTGTCATTTTCTTCCTTGAGAATTATAGAGAATTAGAATGCTTTCTAATGAATATGTACATCTTTGATTACTTTGAAGTTTTTTTAAAAATTGAGTTATAATTGACATGTAACATTATTTTAGTTTCAGGTGTACAATGTAATGATTCGATATTTGTATATATTGTAAAATCATCACAATAAGCCTAGTTAACATCCATTACCACACAGTTACAAATTTTTTTCATGTGATGTATTTTGAAATTTTAATGTAGTAAATAACTTTATGTATAGAGAAGATTTTGCATTAAGAAGATTCACCATCTCTTTATTTCAGTAACCAATATATATTACAGCACCATGCCAAAGCATGTAATAAAATCTTATGCAACACTGAAAGGTTGTTGCTTATTGCATTTGCCACAGGCCCAGACCTCTCCTTATGCAATGTGCAAAAATGAATGAGTACATTATTGATTTTGATGAAAATGATTTTTAAAACAATGAAATACTAGCATTTTGGAAATAAAAATACCATACTGTTTTACAATACTGAAACTGGTATCGTCATCAGTTGTTATGTTAATGTTAAAGTACAGGTCAAGGTAGAGATTGGTCGTTACATGGATGTTGTAGGATTTAAATGTTTGTATACCCAACACTCAGATTTTTAATCTACTTATTAAAAGCATCTAATACTACTGGTGTCATTACTAGTGAACATTCTTTGTAAATTGTTTTTTTCATCATAGCAGAAGATTAATTCTCCATGTTGATTATTTTATAATTTGGTTATAATTTCATTGAGGACCTGGGAGGAGGCAAACCCTGCTTTTACCTAGTTTGCCATTTTCCTCCAGGATGAGAAGATCAATAATTGTATTTTTCTAATATATGCAAAAATTTGTTTCCTGTTTAAGTGAATTTAATTGCAAAAAATTTTAGACTGTCCTGTAATGTAAACTCAATAACATGTAAAAAGTAAGCATATTTTACTCTCAGCATATTTTTCTTTTCGTTCTTTTTTTTTCCTTTGAATGCATTAAATTTAGTGGTTGTAGCTCTTTGTGAAGCAGGTGCTGCCCATTAGAGTAATTCTATACTTGGAAATATTAATACATAGACATTTTGGTGTGTATTCATTTTATTTAAACAAACATTAGTGGGATGCGATCTTTAAGTGATTGTGAAAGTTAATAGTAAATAATATACTGTTCAGTTTTGAGATGTTTAGCATAGATCTCATTTATATATTTTTTTCTTAATATTAGGCAAGAAGTTATGAAATGGAATGGATGGGGATATAATGATTCCAAGTTCTTCTTCAATAAGAAAGGTCAAGTTGAATTGACCGGGAAAAGGTAACTGTGGTTTGTTTATTCTTTCTTTTGTTCCTTTTTTCTCTTTTTTTGTATGAAAAATTTTAAACATAAATAACAAACATAACATGTTCAATAATAGACATGCATAAAAATAGAATAATATAATGACTTCTCTCAATTTAAAAGTGTTTTACCATAATTGCTTCTTTTTTCTGTAGTATTTCAAATTCTGACATTTTTGTGCCACTTCTAAATATTTACATATGTATATCCCTTAAAAAAATGAGGACTTAATATGACCAATTTTATAATACCATTATCATTCTCCTTAAAATAACAGAAATTATATATCTGATTATTCAGTCCACATTCACATTTCCCTACTTGACTCAAAAATACGGTTTTTATAGGTAGTTAGTTTGAATCAGGATCCATAAGTTTATAGTCACCCCACCACTCAGCCCCAACACCATTGACTTGTTGAAATTAGCCTCATTTTTAAGACTGGGAATTTACATTTGGGTGTAGGTTATTATTGCAGGTAAACAATTTTAGGCAAATATATATAGTATTTTTAAAATTAGTTTTCTGAGATATTTTAGGGAAGAAGTGATAAAGAAAGATCAATCATTTGTGTGATACCTTTCACATTTCTGAAACGTTTTTGGTAATGTATTGATAAGAATCCCAACGAATATTTGTATTGTTATTGTTTCAGATGCAGACAGTTGTAAAATATGTTCTTAGTTGATTTTAACCAACATTAACCCTGCCAAAGCTGGTGTTTTGGGTTTGTCTATTAAATTTTGATATAATTTTTGAAAGGATAGTGAGTATAAATATGTAATGTTTGAATGTTGACTCAAAAGTAAATTAAAAAGTGAGGCTAGATTAAAAAGTTGGATCAAATATATTATGAATAATTTCTAGTATTGTACAACTCAGTGTATGTTGGGCATATATGCTTAGGTTAATATTGAAATACCAGCAAGAAAAGTTTTATTTCTTTGTAGAAATTCTTCTTCGCAACATAATTATTCTATTTTTCTAACTTAAAAATAGAAAATGTACCTGAAACAAAACCTCAAGTAGTAATTAAGAACTAATTTTAATGAAGATGTGAAGATGTACATTTAACACATTTTTTAATAGGAAAAATAAATATCATCTGCATTCTCACTCCCATTCTTATTTGTGACTGGGCAGCATGTTGGTGGAGGCTTAGTTGAGAAATTATAATTCAGGTAGAAGGAATTTCTGACTAAAATTACATTTACCAGTCTTCTAAATGTCTAATACAGTAGGAACTTATCTATGTAGAGATTGGCTTTGCAAAATCTTCTGGGGTGAAAAAGTGAATCTTCTGAACTTAGAAAACCAATTTCCTCTCCTCTCAGACAGTCTTCAATTCTTTCTTTGGATGTCAAAGGTATAGAATCTTCATTTTATGGGAGGGAAGGGTCAGATAGTCAACTTGTATTTCAGCACAGTGCCACTGAAAGCATGAGACATCTGTAGTCTTCTGTAGAGTACTGTAGGCTATGTACTGGTTTATGTTAGAAGTGTATGTGTGTGAAATGAATGATTAGTTACAGAAAATAGCACAAATAATTGTACTTTAGTGGTTTCATGAGTGCAGAATCTGGTTCTTATTTTGGGTGTTCTGGCACTTGAGACACATGTGCCACACACATAAGATACTTATTTTTAAAAATTTAGAACCCCAGTGTATTCATTTATGATTAGACTATTTCTTTTTCAGTATATAGACTACTTGTTAATGCCCTTCCTGATATTAAGACATGTAGAAAGCAAAATTGGAAGAATGCCACTGCTGCCACTCTATCCAGAATGAATTCTTTAAAGGCCTAATTTCTTTGCATGATTGACTCTTGAGTTCGAGTCCAGTAGGAAAGATGGGAAAAGAACAGGATACATCTGACTGGCACAGTCTACAAGGGAGACCAAGAAAGTGGATGTTGATTTAGCGGAGGGCAACCTTTGGTTCCCACTAAGACTCATCCAGAGGGTAATTCTCCAAACACAGGAATGGAATTTAGATGCTCTATGATTAAATATATACATAATATATACATATATACATAATGGAATTTAGATGCTCTATGATTAAATATATACATAATATATATAAACAATTTAATAACTGAAAACTAAATATTAACTAAATAATATTCATTTCCCATTTTGGTGCTTCCAGAAGCACCATTACCTTGTCACAGGATAAACTGGATTGAATTGGACCATAGCTTTCTCTATATCTAGTCTAGTTTCCTAGGTGTAATGGTTGAATTAGTAGATGTCTCTGTTTTTTCATGAGAAAACATTTACAAACATTGTTTAAGATAATAACAGCTATTATTTATTGAGTGCCTACTGAATTATTTTAAAATAACCCTTAGATGGATAGTGGTATTTTCTTCAAAATAATTAGGAGATTGAAGATAAGAGAAGTTACATTGCTTACTTCAGGCCACCTGTTCAGTGGGAAATTGGGATTAAAAACCAAGTGTTTTTAAGATTCATTCTTGGGCTGTTTCTTTTATGCTGTGCTCATGAGATATTTCTGCAGATCACTATACTCACCCATTATATCAATCTTATTCTCTTTCCAAATTCTGGAAGCACTTCTACACTCTGTACAACAGCACAGTAGAGTTAGTCATATTGTAAATAGTTATCCTATGACAAAAATTTTTATTGTTCCAGTGAAAGACAAAGGACAGAAGCCTAAGAAGGTTGTGGTATTCCCAAAAGAGAAAATGGAATTTATGACTAGAAAGGATGAGTACAAGAAAATATTGATTTGGCTGAACAATATTAATTTACCCTTTAATGTTAATACTAGATTATAAGGACAATTTTTGAAATTTTTTGTAAAGACCTTTTATTCTGGCTTTGTAGTGGACTGAATACAGACCCTTTGCCCTCTATAAACACATAGAAAACATGGATAAAATACCGGAAGAAAGAACTATAACAGCAGGAAAGAAAGGGAAATCTTTAAATGCCAGAAACTAACAATGACTCTCAATGAAAATTTATGGGGGTTCCCTTATTTCTGATCCAAAGAACATTGAAAAGGTAGGAAATTTTTATAAGGAAATGTGGTTAAAGGTTTGTATATATTTTTGGGAGCACAACTTTGACATTTCAAACCTAGCCATTAAATTAGAAGCAATTGTTATAAGCTATTATAGATCTTAGAGGAAAATCAGAAGTTTAGTCTATCTTCTGAACAGATTTGTCATTTGTCAGTTTATAAATCTCTAGATCTATAATCTTATCACTCTTATTCCCTCCAAATATAGATGAATTTAGTCCTAGTTTTAAACAGCAGATGACAGTATTTCAAAGTTAATGCTATAGATTTCTATAAACTAAAATTTTTGAAAAGTGTCATTATTTTGACTTTAAAGGTATCATACAGTATCGATGCTTACAAAGCACAAGTTAGTGTTTAAATGGAAAGAAATTGTTTGGATTTGCTGCACTTTGTGTTTTCAGTGGTGTAATTTTTCATTCAGTTTTTATCTTCAGTTATAAAAAGGCTATCAAATTGCCTTTCATTTGTGGAACTCACCCTGAAGATAGATGGTTGCATATACTGATATTTTGCTACCTCTGTACACTGCCCCCAGAGTATCACTTTGTCTTTGGTCATCGTGAATCCTGATGTGTACTTCCTTGGATATTTATGTCCACAGGTGATTTCATTGGTCTTGAAAGCTTATTCTGACTCTATATCTTTTGCAGTACAGTCTACCTTGGTTCTGAGGAAAAGTGGTAATTTGATCTCACTTTATATTTACAAAAAGACTGTTTCTTAAAGTTCTCAAACTAATCTTCGGTCATAGAAAAGATCTATTTAGTAGTCACTCTGTTTCAACAATTGGTATAGGCACTTGGCTTTCCTCTTAACGCATTTCTGATAAAAGTTTTATATTTCCTGCTAGAAATTAAATATCTTTGAAGCTTTGACTAAAGTGGGTTGTAAGGTTCTTAAGAATAGGAGTCTTATTATATAATACCAATTCATTGTGTCCTGCAATGCAGGGTATAAATGCTTGTTTGTAGTTCTAGATGTAAATCCAAAGTATCTAACTATAATAATCAAGTCATTATGTAGCTGTTTTTTAAATACTTCTGATTCCTTTAACTTTTCTTAGATTCTTTCTTTTCTGTCCATTTACTTCTTTGACTTAAAAATTTTCACTTTTACTCTATGAGATTTTTGGAGCCCTTAGCAGTATGCTAGTCTTTATGATTGTTAAATAGGTTTTCTTTCCTGTTTTTCAAATCCCAGGACATTAGATGTAAGAAAAAGTACAATTGAAAAGCTTCCATTCTGACATGGAACTCTTTTTGAATTGTATAAGTTTTGTCTTAAAATTGTAAATAATGGAGCAAAGTCTTAAATCCAAGCTTCTGCCAAGCATGATATTTCTACAAAATCTGAAATATTGTGCATTCAGATGTAGAGATATATTGTGTTTATCTTAGTGGTAGAAAGTAGTGTTAAATTTTACACATGACAGTAATACAAGCATGATATCTGTTCAAGTATCTTGAAGGTGGTCACCTTTTTATTTTATGGATGTTATTTGTGAGTTAAGGCATTCACAAAGATCTGAATATGATTCTGTCATGAATATCAAAGGTCAGCTATTTTTACAGAGACTCAAAGTAATTGTACAGTTAAAATATAAGGGCCCAGCATCAAAATATAATAGTTCCAAATTGGTCTTTTTGTAGGACATGATTAACACATAGTAGCATATATGTTGTAACCAACTTCCCATAATTTATACTTTTACCTTAGCTAAAATGAAGAACATTTTATATGCCGAATGACTAACTGTCTTTAGTTGTTTTAGCTATGAGTCCCCTACTTTCATTTCAATTTCTTTAGGTTTACCAAAAAGGTATTGTTATATGATACTTTAGTTTGATTTTTAGGCCTAGTGATTTTAATATTAAAAAAAGAACTTGTTTGATTCAAACACTTATTTTTTTTTTCTTTCCATTATCATTTTTGTTTTGCTAATTTTTATGTAAAGATTGGTTTAAGAAGTTTAGAATTTTTGCTACATAATATGAAGTTAAATTAACACAAGGAATGACATCTAGTCAGCCCATGTTGTGTAACTGTTAAAATTATTTCCAATTAAAAATTCCTTTGGATAGGGCCCAATTCCGGCTCTTTTAATATTGAGTGCTGCATTATTATAAATATTTAATTTTAGTGCAGAATTTATATATTACCCAGTGACTTTTTTGGTAGTGGGCATCTTTGGGAAATCAAAGTAATCTTTTTGAGGCTAATTGCTAAAAACTTTTGCAGTTATTCAAGCTCTGATGAAATGAGTGAGAAATAATCTTGAGCAAAGGTATCATACTTTGAACATTTTAACTGATTTCTTTTCTATATTGGTTTAATTGTTATTCGATCTGGAATAAATAATGACTACTAGAATATCTCTTCTCCATTTAAACACACACAACAACAAAAATAGTTATAGGATTTAAACTACTGTCTTGGGAAAAAATTAATTTAATCTTACTTCATACCAAGTACAGAGATCAATTCCAGATAGATTATAGACCTAAATGTATAAGCTAAAATTATAAAACTGCTAGAAGGATATACAGAATGTCTTTCTGAATTTGAGGTCGACAAAGCAGAGAACAAAAAGTATTAACTATAAGGGAAAAAGTGAATCAATTAGACAACATTAAAATATAGAACTTCTTTTCATCAAGACTCTTTTAAAAGAGTAAAGACAAATCACAGAGTAAGAGAAAATTTTAGTACATACATTCTTGATTCCAAATATATAAAGAATTTTTATACATCAATGAGAAAACAGTAATAACCCAATAGGAAAATGAGCAAAAGATTAACTGACATTGAAAACAGAAGATATCCAAATATACAATAGCTATATGAGTAGAAGCTCAATCCCATAGGTAATTGGTGAAATTCAAATTGTTAAGAGATCGCCAATAGAATGTCTCACATTAAAAAGAACTACAACATCAAGTGTGGGGAGGATGTGGAACAAGCAGAACTCTTTATACATTGCTAGTGGTAAACATGTTGGAATACCGTCTACCAGCATCTTCTAAAATTAAACATATGCATAGACTATGGCCTGGAAATTATACCTATATACTCATCAGAAACATGCAGTACATTCTTGAGAAAAGAGTTCAAAACTGTTCCTGCATGCACTAAAAATTGTAAACCACTCAACTGTCAATGAAACAGTGGATAAAGAAATTGTGTACTCACACAATGGAATTAAGCCATGGAAATGAACGAACTGCAAGTATATGTAACAATATAGATGAACCTCATAAACATTGAGCGAAAGAAAGCAGACACAAGAGAGTATATTTTGTAGGATTTTATTTATATAAAGTTCACAGTCAAAATTACCCTGTAATGTTAATAGGATAGTGGTTCCTTTGGTGTGAGGAAAGGAGGTAGTGCCTGGAAAGGGGCATCGATATTGTGTGTGGAGAGATATTTCTGGGGGTGCTGGTAATATTCTATTTCTAGGTCTAAAAACGGATTACATGGAAGGTTTACTTTGTAAAAATTCATTCAGCTACAGACTTATTTATCTTTGGTATGTATGTTATATTTCAGTATTTTGTAAGTAAAATATTTATAAAATCAAAAATGAAACAGCTATAATGTAGTATCATAACTTTATTTGGCTGTCCCATCATCATTTTTGGTAGCGGGTAGAGAATGTGCAAGAACATTATAGTGAAAAGCAATTTCAGATATAGCTACTATGATTTTATAAATATCACTCATAAAGATTTTCGATTAATGATCTCATTTAGAACAGTGGTAAGGGGAGAATCAGACTAGAGGTAGCATCATATAGTGGTTAAGAGGACAGACTGAAGCCTTACTTATTACCTGGTTAAGATCTTGGGTTTGTGACTCACTAGCTCTGTGACCTTAAGCAAGTTTCTTAACTTACTTAATTTCTTAAGTTATTTAACATCTCTGTGCCTTAGCTTCCTCATTTATAAAAAGGGGGTAAATAGTACCAACGTCATAACATCATTATAAGTTAATATACCTAAAACACTTAGAACAGTGCCTGGCACATGTTAATGCAATATGTTTACTTAAGAAAAAAGTACCATTTTAAAGTACCATTTTAAAACATTTAAATTTTGTTCTAATGTTTTCAGAGAGCTGTTATATTACTGCTAATACTAACATTGGATTATGATGTTTGCATATTAGCCTTCTTCACTACACTAATCTAGGGTGGGATACTTCTTTTATGTCTTATTGCTGTTTAATATTTTGCCACCTCTGAGAATTATTTATAAAACTGAAAAGTTGGACCTCTAAGCACTTGAGTTTTCTGCATTAATCTCTTCTCATATATATAAAATTTGTATATGAAATAATGTTGATGTTTCATATAAACTATATATAAGTAGAGATTGGGATGAAAGATGTAGGAACAAATATAGTTTTTTCATAGTATACCCACCGTAGTGCTCATGTGTATGTTTTAAATGTATTGTACTACTTAATGTAAAATCTAAGAACCTGTTAAGTCTACAGGTTTATTTTCTATTCCTTGTTCTTATTATAGTTGTCACATTGTAAACTTCATAATACAATGTTATAATCGTTAAGTCATATATATTTTAAAGAAATTAAGAAGTCATTTATATTTACCTACGTATTTAATCTTTCTGATATTGTTTATTCCATCTTGAAGATTTGAGTTTACATTTTAGCGTTTTATCTCCCCTCAGCCTATAGAAATTACTTTAGCATTTCTTGTAGTGTAGGTCTGCTAACACTAAGTTCTAAGAGTAGTTTTCATTTGAAAATGTCTTTATTCACTTACGTTTTGAAGGATATTTTCACTGGATGTAGATTTCTAGACCGACATTATTTTCCCATTCAGCACCTTAAAAATGTTCATTAGCTTCCTGATTTCACCGTTTCTGATGAGAAGTCAGTCATAATTTTTATTGCTAACACATTGTATGTAATGTATCATTTTTCTATAGATCCTTTTAGGATTTCTTTTCCCTCTCTCTTTCTCTAATTGCAATTTGATTATGTTGTGCCTAGTGTGAGTTTCTTTGCATTTATCTTCTTTGAGTTCTCTGACCTTCTTGAATTTGTAAATTTTTGTCTTTCATCAAATTTGGAACTTTCAGCTATTATTTCCTCAAATTCTTTTTAAATTCTTGTTTTTTTCCTCCTCTTCTTGGGAATCCATTTATATGTATGGTATTTTGTTATTGTTCCATAGGTCCCTGAAGCTCTAATTTTTTCAATCTTTTTCTGTATTCTTCAGATTGTAGATATTTTATTGCTCTGTTAATACTGACATCTCCAATCTTCTCTTAAGTTATTTCAACTAATTTTTATTTCAGAGTTTTGATTATAGAATTTCTGTTTTGTTTTTATAGCTTTTATTTCTCTGCTGAGATTTCTTTTTAGTTACTCACTGGGAATATATTTTCCTCTTTTAGCATAGTTATAGTTGCTTTAAAATCCTTCTGAGTTATTTGCAGTATCTTGGGGTAAGTTCCTATTAATTACCCTTTCTCTTGATTATAGATCACACTTTCTTGTTTGTTCATGTCTAGTAATTTTGGAGTATATCTTGGACATTGTTAATGATGTGTTGTAGAGACTCGATTCTGAAAAGGCTTTTTTTTCCCATCAAGCAATTAATTTGACTGATTTCAAACTCCCCATTTCTCTCTTTGGTGACGAGCACCTGAGTTATCTGTTTAGTTCTTTTAGCTTAGTGTCTGCTCCATTGATGTGTAATTCAAGGTCAGCCAGACATTTGGACATATTTATACATAGGTCCCTCTCTGACTCTCTCCTTTTCCGTGATTTCCTTGTACTCTTTCCAGGTGCTATGCTTGCTGTAAACACTGTCCTGTGGTTCTTCAAGCCAGGAAGACTGTAGGTTTTCCACATTTTTGGTTTTTTTTGTGGTACCGGCTGAGGTTTTCCTTCAGACTAAAACCTGTTTTAAAAAACAACGCTAAAAACTCATGTAGTGCTGTTTCCTTCTTCCAAGTATAGCACACTTCCCTTTTGCCTGCTTTTGTTCTGCCTGTACTGCCCTCAGATAATTGGGATTTGTTTGTTTTGTTTTGTTTATGTCCAGAGTTTATAATTGTATGTTAGAGGGTTGGTTTGATAGGAGCAGAATTACTAGAAGCAGAATCTTTAAGATTTAAATTTAAATGAAAATACCTTACTCTAATGTTTTACCTTCTTTGTACCTTAGGTACCCTCTTAGTGGCATGATTTTACCATCTTTTAAAGAATGGATTCAAAATACTCTTGGAGTAAGTCTGGAGCATAAAACTACCTCTAAAGTAAGTAAAAAGAATGATTATAACATGCTTACCTGTGTCTGTATATATGCGTTTAATCCCAAATTAGATTTATCTTTGTGATTGATCATGGTTTTTTTTTCATTAAGTTTAGTGTTTATATTGGTCTTATTAGGGTATAGTTTCACTTTTCTGAAAGTGGGATTAGGAAACTTTAAACTGTATGCATATCAAATTAATGAAATTGTTAGTATTTCTTTATGATTTTATATTTATTTTTATGACATGGTATTCTGCATGTTCCTCTAACTGTATCTAAGTTTCATAAGTTCCACAGGGGCTATGGCTAAAACTATATTTTCCACTGTATCCAACATATTATTAAGGACTGTAGGTATTCATTGAGTACTTGTTTGGTTTATTTATAAATCCCCAGTTACGTTTTATTCTAATAATTAAATTAGGCTAAGCAACTAATTCTCACCTCCCCAAACCAAATTCTTTTAATTTTTCTTAAAAGATCTCTTTTTTCATCTCCTTAATTCTCTCTTTCTTGACTATTTATAATTACTTTTTTTTTTTGACATGGATGATGATGTCTACATACCATATTCAGAAATTTCACTAGTTTTATATGCACTTCTTTTTTCTGTTTTTGAGCCCTTTTCAATTTTCAATAACTTAACAAAATAGTAATCCGTATGTTTTGTTGGGGTTCTTTTGGTTATTTCTTTTCACTATAGGGTAGATTCCCTGAGGTCAAGATTTTTTTCCTGTTTAATTCATTGCTGTCTCCCTAGGGCCTAAAAAATGCCTGGCTTTTACTACACACTAAGTAAATATTTATCATATAAATATATAATAATCTTGCAGGAGATTGGTTTCAGGACACCGCTTGGATACCAAAATCTGTGGATGCTCAAGCCCCTTATATAAAATGGTGTAATATTTGCATATAGCCTATTTTTGCATATAAGCGACAGCAGGGTATACCTACATATCACGTCATTTGTGTGGATTCAGTGTAGTGCTTAGCATGTGACAAATTAAAGTTTTGTATTTTGGAACTTTCTGGGACTTGTAAAAAATATATTTTTCAATTCGCCATTGGTTGAATCTGCAGATGCAAAACCCACAGACACAGAGGGCTGACTATAATTGAATATTGAAAACAGATCTTAATAAGATACTAAAAGGTTATGTAATATTTTTTTTTACATATCTTGTATTGTCTTTTTTCCAAATACTATATCATGGTTATTCTTTTTTTTCATGGCAGATTTGATTTGGGCAGCCATTTATAGATCTCTTCCTGTATGTTAGGTGATGTTAGGTGCTTTTCACAAAAAATTACCACATTTAACCTTCTTTCCTTATGGCAGCTATGTAAATTTGGTGGTGATAATTTCATTTAACAGATGCAGCAGCCAAAGGTCATAGAAGTTGAATTACTTCCCCAATGTCACATATCTTTAAAGTTACAGATTTATTTTTCAAGTTACCTGTTCGTTGAAATTATATAATAAGTTTATAATTATGTTGTGAGTTTTAAAGCATTCCTGTGAAACGGGTTTATTACTCATATTGTGAAGCTTTTTGCTCTTCATTTAAAAATAATAATTGAACCGTAGAAGACATACAAATGGCCAACAAATATATTAAAAGATGTTCAACATCACTAGCTATTAGGGAAATGCAAATCAAAACCACAATGAGATACCATCTCACACCTGTTAGAATGGCTATAATCAACAGGACAAGTA